CATGAAAAACATATCATATTAGCTTAAAATCTAAATAAGAAAGAAGGAAACACTTATAGGACGGAGAGTATATATATTAAGCTCTACATTCTTTATTCTTTGTTGGGTTTATGTTTAATTATCATTTTTTTTGTTGCAAAAAAACACTTTTTTTTAAGGGAATGTTCAATTAACACTTTGACAATCTGGATTTTAAAAAGAAAGATTAATTATGTTTTTAGTGGACAATCGTAATCACATTTCATGACTTAATCAAGAAAATATCTTCGCACAGCCAGGTTATCTACGCGGGATCCTGCCAGAGTCGGCACCTACTTACCCCGAGACATTGCAGGATGTTCTTCAAGGTATAAATGGCTGTTTTTTTTCAAGAATCCCACAAAAAAATATGAAAGAGAAGCATATATCAGGCTTTTAAATCATTGGGTTCGAGTAATAGTTGAAACGGTTGGATTCAAATATTCAAAGTGGTTTGGCCTAAGTAACTATATGATGAGTGATTGCAGATGTGCAGACAAAGATATTGCCCGGAGTTACACATTGGCAAAGCCCAGATTTTTATGCATATTTCCCCTCTAACAACAGCGTGGCTGGGTTTCTGGGGGAAATGCTTATTTCTGGAATTAGTATTGTGGGTTTCAGCTGGATTAGTTCTCCAGCAGCCACAGAACTCGAAATGATTGTTTTAGATTGGCTTGCTAAAGCACTCAACTTGCCAGAATGTTTTCTTTCAACCGGTAATCGCCTAGTCGTGGCTGGTTTCCGCATCACGTCACCTAAAAAGGTGCATTGTTTTTGGTAACTCTTGTTTGGCTTCCACAGGACATGGCGGGGGAGTAATACAAGGCTCAGCTAGTGAAGCTGTTCTGGTTGTGCTTTTAGCGGCACGCGACAGAATATTGAGACAAGTTGGGAGAGAGTGTATAGGGAAGCTTGTTGTCTATGCCTCTGATCAGACTCATGCTTCTCTACAGAAGGCCTCCCGGGTACACGTTTGTTTACTTTAACTTGAGATGAACACACATTGGGTGTACTTCAACCCAAAAGGATCTCTCTCACACACACATTGAGGAGTTCAATCATTTATAGCTTTACATGGGCTTTACTTTTTTTTTATTTCTCCTTTTATTTTGACAGATAGCAGGAATATATCCAGAAAATTTTCACTCTATAAAGGCTAACTCATCTACTGAATATGCCATATCTCCAAGTTCACTCCATGAAGCTATATCCAAAGACATTGCAGCTGGTCTAATCCCCTTCTTCCTTTGTGCAACTGTAAGAAAAAAAAATGCAATAAATTAGGCCATAAAAAAGATAACACTATAAATCTCAGTTCTTTAGTGCTCCTTGCCATTATCCACATGTTATTGGAATGAGTCTCCCCTTGACTTGTTTATTAGGTTGGTACTACTTCATCAACTGCCATTGATCCCCTACTTGCACTTGGGAATATTGCTAAGGTAATGACATTCAACTGAGGTTCAAGTAACATATAAAAGAACATTATACTAATATAATCGAGTAGTAATGTCGACCTGCTTTCAATAGAGTAATGGGATGTGGTTTCATGTGGATGCTGCATATGCTGGAAGCGCCTGTATATGTCCTGAGTTTCGACACTATTTGGATGGTGTAGAAGAAGCCGACTCCTTTAACATGAATGCACATAAATGGTTTCTTACAAACTTCGACTGTTCTGCACTTTGGATAAAGGTAATGCATTTAATGGTGATGAACAACAATGGTGTTCTTAGTACTTTGCATTAGTTAATGAACAATAATTTATGTTCTTTTACGAATAGGAGCGAAGTGCTCTCGTTCAGGCACTGTCCACTAACCCTGAATACCTTAAAAATAAAGTAAGCAGCTTTGAACAAATACTTACATTTAAAATTAAAGTCTCACTTTCTCTTTGTTCATAGAATTTTTTTCCCCATGTTTAACTAAAAATTTAGAATCACTTTCAGGCTTCTCAAGAAAACATGGTGGTAGATTACAAAGATTGGCAAATTCCTCTTGGACGCAGGTTCAGGTACATCTGCATTTTTATTTTTAAACTTTTTTTTCACACGGATTCTGAATTTACTCCACGAAAACATTCTCACATTTGCACCAAATCTGTTAATATGAGATTTCATTGAGTTTGGGTGCATTAACCCGCAGATCGCTGAAACTATGGATGGTTTTAAGACTGTACGGCTTGGAGAAGCTTCAAAACTATGTGAAGAACCATATAGAATTGGCTAAACTGTTTGAAGGATTTGTTTCCGGCGACTCTAGGTTTGAGGTAAGAACTGCTAGATTTTTTTTTTCAGCATCTAAAACAAATGCAACTCTGTGGATTCTGAAACCAGAATTGGCAAGATGTGGTTCTGAGAAACCAAAACAAATGGGCCCTTTGACAATCAATCAAGAAGAGTGCATCCTTAAAACTTCAACAACCAATTTTTTTCGTTTTCTGCAGGTTGTGACCCCTAGAAAGTTTTCATTAGTGTGCTTTCGGCTTCGGTCACCCCAGAATGATGAAGCTCTTTCAAACAAACTCAGCCGCGATCTTCTTGATTATGTTAACTCCTCTGGGAAAATGTTCATAACCCACACTGTTCTTTCCCATAAATACGTTCTGCGCCTCGCAGTGGGAGCACCACTGACTGAAGAGAGGCATATCATTTCAGCTTGGAAGCTTCTGCAGGATGGGGCTACTGCATTGTTAAACAAGCTAAGACAGTCATCTTCCAAGCAGTCTAATTCTTTTGCATAGAGGATATATAGCTCCTGCCCTCCTCCATTTGGATTTAATGATGTCCCCTGCCCTCCCCTCCAGGGGCAGTGATATACAATACTGTTACTGGTGCATTATAAGTACTGATATTAATAATTTGATTCTTCTTAATATAAATTTATATAAATCCTAAATAATTGATTTAATATTTTTTTTTAATATTCTTATATATCAATTACTCCGTATGTTATAATAAATAATTGATACTATTTTAAACTCCATCCATCCTAAAATTAACTCCACATTTGACTTTTCACATTCTCTAATGTAATGTTTTGACCATTAATATCTCTATTTATATATAAATATATACATTATAAAAATAAAAAAATATTTCAAAATTATATTTCAAAATGAATCTATTGATATTCAATTTATATAAAAATTCAATATTTTTTTCGTAATATGCAGTCTAAGTTCAAAATGTTTGACCACAAACGTCAAACTGGGATGTTAATTTTAGGACGAAGGGAGTAATATAATACGGTGTATAGATTATTTAAAATAATGAAATTCAATTTCCCAATAATGAAATTGAAATTCTATTTCCCAATAATTTTTTATTTTTTTAAAAAACCATTATTTATAATTTTTTAAAATTCAAATTTATTTGTATTTGAGATAAAAAGCAACTGTAATAAAAAATAAGATATATTTCATCTGTCTCAAGCTCACATTTTTTTTGTTTTCCAAAACAAAAAAAAAACATTTTTGGTATGTTAAAAAAAGAAGAAAGAGAGAAATAGAAATAGGAAATAAAAATAAAAGAAAAGGGAAATGAAAAAGAAAAAGATACAAAAATACGCTTATTGAAAAGGAAACCTTAGCCATGAAGTATGTTGATAAGGTTCTTTCTTGCGACGTCTAAAAAATATGATTTTTTAGAAAAAATTCTTTGAGAACGAGAGAAAAAATAAGGATATTTTTGGACCAACGCCCAATAGATTCAAAAAAAATGAAAAAAGTCCCCTTTTTTATTTTTAAAATTAATAAGAATAAATTTTTGGAAAATCTCAAAAAAGGACTTCTTTGGGACATCCTGAAAAAACACACTCCATTGCTCTGTTTTCTATTTTCTAAAAGAGTATTTTCATTATTAATAGTACTCTTAAGATAATATTCCAAGGATGCCCTTGATTGACTTCCGCCCAACTTCTTCTTCTTTGATTAAATAAGAAATGTACCAGCATGGTACCCAAATGTGAATTGTCCATATTCACACACATGAATCCAGCAGCTCATTGTACCAGCTTGGTACCGGTACTAGATTGGGCAGAATTTGATGTTTTTGTACAAAGGCAGAAAAAGAGATGCTAGGTAACTAATATTAGGCTGAGTTTTGTTTAATTTATTTTTTCCTCTTGTTACTTATTCTTATAATAATCAGGTAAAAGCAAATCAGAAACATCGTTAATTATAACTAGAATCAGACTAGATCATTTCCGATCAGATTATCAAAAAACCAAATGAGGTCACGCGAACATAATGCAACTTTAGAGCCCGCTCTTTAGAGCTTAAGGCATTAACATCCAGTTCTTTTTGGTTTCTTCCACTTCCTTCCAGTTCTTCCATTTTTTTTCAACTATTCTCATTTTCGTCAAACTGAAAAATATAATTTTAAAACTGAGAAAGTATCTATAACACTCTTAACAAAGAGTAGCAATTGAATATTATATTAAAAGCATAATGTTGGCTACATATTTATTTAGTTAATTAATTAAATAATCAAATATGTTATTTTTACCGCATACATGCAACATCTTCAATCACCTCATTTGCATGTTAGGATCCATATTTATGTATCATTTTTCTCAAAAGAAAATATGAGAAGTGTAAGTGTACGTTTAATTTTGAAATGTTCGAAAATAGAAATTGTGATCATGTTAAGAAAATAAAAAAGTGCTCATAAATAAAAATGCTCATTACAATATTTTTTAAATAAGACTTTTGGATTAGTAAATTATTACCTTTGTCCCCGTAGAATTTTATATTTTTTATGTTCAATTTTAAAATTAACTTTATTATTCTGCACTTTCTTTGTTTAGAAATTGAATGCATAGATAACTCTTTTTCTCTTTCAACTACATGAAAATGATAAATTTTCAAACTATAATATTTTTCTTTAATTTCTTTCAATCTAAAATAATTTTGAGTACCCATCTTTTCAAGAAGAAAAAAATGAGAGAAAAGAAAAGACAGGTTCTTTCCTCAACAAGCAGGTAGACAGATAGAGCAGTCTCCAATCTTCATAAAGAAATAGCAATTGAACTGTAAGAGAGCTCAGCGCAGGAGAAGAACGATGCAGACCCTCACGAGGCAATTAGGGCACCAATATCTGAATCGATCTCCAGCTTCACTTTCAGCTCTCAAGTCTCTCTGTCCACTCTCCGATCAATGTANCACATTTCTGTGTTTTTTTTGTTTTTTTTCTTCCATTTCAGGCTATGGAGTTCAAACTCCGCGTTACGCATCTACCCTCGCCACCAAAGGCGTTGGGCATCTAGTTCGCAAGGGAACTGGGGGAAGATCATCTGTGAGGTGATGCTGCTCCCGAAGCTTCGATTTTCGGTTTGATTTGTTTTTTTTTTTGCTTAAATCTGATGCCAATTGGAAAATCTGTCGGTTTCAGTTGATTACTTTCTGTAATTATTACATGTGTTATCCTGTTGAATTGAGATTTTTTTTATCATGCAACTATAGAATTTTTACTTGATTGTGTTCATATACTCCTTTCCCTGATTTATTTATGCTCCTTTTTTGAAATTTTAGCCTTTTTGTGTGTGTTATCCACATGCTGATCGAATAGAATGTGTTGTCTGAGGCAGTGGAATTATTGCAGCAGTCTTTGGAGCTACGGGGTTTCTTGGGCGCTACCTTGTGCAACAGCTTGGTAAAGTGCTGTTCACTTCTTGTGATTTCTGGTTTTGCGGTTGATGTACAATCTAGAGTATTGTATAGATTCTGATGTTATGTGAATATATGTTCAATGCAAAAGCCAAAGGCACCCTCTTTTGTTGAAATTATAGAATTTCTAACTATATGCAGTTTACTCTTACAGCTAAAATGGGTTCTCAAGTTTTGGTACCTTTCCGAGGTTCTGAGGATTGTCATCGTCATCTCAAGTTAATGGGTGATTTGGGTCAGGTAGATTAGTTTTGCCCGTAAAGTCAGTTATGATGAATTTCCCATGATGATGATGATGATGATGTTATGGTTGTCCATTGTTATTCTTTGCAGATTGTTCCAATGAAATACAACCCTAGAGATGAAAATTCAATAAAAGCAGTGATGGCAAAAGCTAATGTTGTCATCAATCTTATTGGTTTGTGATTTGTGCTTGTCAATCAATAGTCCATGATATTATGGCCACTTTCTTGGATATATCCATAAGCTTAGTGTCCATTTGGAACACGGGAAAATGCTAGGGAAAGAAAATAGGGAGTAAAACATATGGAAAAAACATATTGAAATTTTTTAAAACATTTACCATATTCTATATATATCCATTGGTATTTTTTCAAGGTAAAACCAAACACAAAAAATAAATAAATAACTTTCCTTAATAAATTTCCCCCTTCACTAGCATTTCCGAATCCCCCCCCCCAAACCTAACATCAAGTGAATCATTAACAGGAAGGGAGTATGAGACAAGGAATTACAGCTTTGAGGAAGTCAACCATTATATGGCTAACCAGCTAGCTGCGGTACATATCTACACTTGATGCAATCTTCTTATCTTTGTTATTTCATTTTCTTGAAACCCCTTGAGCATTTAGTCACATGAATGATGAAAAATTCATTTCTAATTCTATAATGATTGACCTTCTTTTAAACATTTGAGGTTGTGTTGGAAGAATATGATTACTGAGGCTTTAGGTGGGATTTACAACTTGAAATTGTGAAACACTTTATTTTTCTCTACAAGCATTGCTGATACATTTATATCGGCATCGTCCTGTACTCCTGTCATAGTGTCATCTGAATTTTTCATTAGTTATCTCTATATTAATTAATTGATGCAACTTGTGCTTCTTTTGTATTTGCAGATATCCAAAGAACACGGAGGAATCTTGAGATTTATACAGATTTCATGTTTGGGTGCATCTCCAACATCCCCATCCAGAATGCTTCGAGCTAAAGCTGCAGCTGAGGAAGCCATTTTACGTGAAATTCCTGAGGTAAATTTTGTACTTGGTGTGGGTTCTCCTTGGATGTTCCAATGAACCATTTTGCTTGTTCTCTGCCCATATATTTCCTGCATCTCTATTTTCATCAAAATTCTATTTTTACGGGTTTGTTGTACATGGTGTCAAGATGGACATTCTATTGTTAGTATCAAGATGGGCACAATCAGCCTTTGTATGGATGGAGACTTGAAGAGAGATAAGGGAGAAGGTCGTGTGAAATAAGTAAGAGAAGAAAGTATGAGCATATGTTTAGGATGTTTGGATTGAAAGAAGAGAGAAAAATAGAGAGAATGAATATCGTTTTTAAAGATAAACTTGCCCTCAATTTATAGAACAATCAATTGTACTACGTATCAGTTACTCTCTTAGGCTAAGTTTGTAAATTCAAACCACCCCCTCCTCAGGCTTTTTCCGTCATTGAAATTATGGCCATTCTATTATTCGTTTAAGATTTAATAACTACTTGAAAGTCAATCAAATACAAATACTAATCTCATTAAAAATTCGTTTCACATTCGGATTTGAATTCGTATTCAGAAAACTGAGAAAAGTTATCAAATACGAATTCAAATACTTTGGTATTTTGATTCGTTTACAGCCCTTTAGTCTCAGGCTTTCACACAACCAAACTGTGTAAATTTACTTTCCCCGTCTCACTTCTCTCCTTCCATTTTCTATCTTGCCAAAATCTATCCAACCAAACAAACCGTTAGAGTTGTATTTATTATTCTCACTATCTTCTAGATGATTACAACAGCCCAGTATAATCTAAACTCTGTTGGGGTCTGGGCTCAAGATGTACACGGTCTTAATCATGTCCTGTAATAATAGAGAGGTTGTTTCCATTAGACCCTAGATGCATTGCTGCATTTATTGCTCAAACACTTCGTGGAGACTAAGAATCAAGGGAAGTTTAACATGTCTTTTTTTAGTCCATTATGTGCCCGAAACTAAAAATAATAATTAATCGTCTTTTGGATGATTAGTAAACATTTTACTATGATTATAAAAAAATGAAATAATTAAACCATGCAAACTACAATTTGCATGTTGTTGGTCCTTATGTCTCCAGGCAACAATATTGAAGCCAGCTGTGATGATTGGTACTGAGGATAGAATTCTAAATCCTTGGGCACATTTCGCAAAGAAGTATAGCTTTATCCCGTTATTTGGAGATGGCTCTACAAAGTATGTTACCATACAATGTCTCTCATCGCCATAGCTGATAACTTTAAGAGCTTTTTAATTCCCCTCTGCTCTTACATGTTCTTGCAGAATCCAACCTGTATATGTTGCTGATGTTGCATCTGCAGTTGTTGCATCACTGAAGGATGACGGTACCAGCATGGGAAAAGTATATGAACTCGGTGGGCCTGACATTTTCACTGTACACAATTTGGTGAGTCCTCAACTCACACTCCCACACTCTTCTTTTCTCCAACCCTTCATTCTTTCTTCCCGAATGCAAATTAATCTCAGAGGTGAGCTTATTGCTGCAGGCAGAGCTGATGTATGACATGATCCGCGAATGGCCTCGCTATGTTAAGGTCCCTTTCCCCATTGCCAAGGTGAGTTTACATACATAAGCTAATGTTTTTTCATATTTTTAGCTTCTAGGGCACCCCATTTTATGCATCTTTTGTTTTCTTGTTTTCAGGCGATTGCCACTCCTCGAGAATTACTGCTCAACAAAGTTCCCTTTCCCTTGCCAACTCCTTCAATATTTAACCTGGATATGATTGAAGCCTTGACCACAGATACAGTTGTGTCAAAAGATGGTTTGTGCCCTTCTTACTAGTAAATAATCAATAATTATGAAATCAATTTCTCCCTCATTTTCATAAAGATACTCCATCTGTTCTTACCATCTTTTAGGTTTTTTCAATGGATGTCATTAAATTTGTCATAAATGAACAAGCTTATCCCAATCAACTTCTGGGCATTGCAAGTAACATGCAAAACTGACATAAATGTCCAGAACAAGTTAGTCATTCTATTCAGTTTCACTTCATCTTCCAACCAAACACACCCCATAGTTAATGGACTGCTATGAGAGAGCGGATGCAGTAGTGTGCCATCTTTTTTCGTGCGGTTTAAACAAATTTGATGCTAGGGTAGTTGGGACACTAATTTTGATATGTGACTCCCATTTTCATCATTTGAAGTCAACAGCTCCCATTGTTTTGCAGCACTGAAGTTCAAGGATCTTGGGGTTGCCCCACAAAAGCTGAAGGGCTATCCAGTGGAGTTTCTCATTCAATATCGTAAAGGAGGCCCTCAATACGGCTCAACAGTTAGCGAAAAGGTGTCCGCTGATTCGTATCCATGAGTTCAGTTTGAACGACGCGAAACGATACACGGTTCTTGTCTGATTTGCAAGAACTTTTTTTCCTTGTTTTTGTGTTGATCCAAACAAGGGAGTAATAATGAAGTGGCTCTTATGGGGAAATGCCATGACAATCACTTGGAGGGGAACAGAATTTGGTACCCCTTCACTTCTCTAACATGTTTGATTGTGCTTTTGAGTTGAGATTTGTGTCTTCTTGGTTAAGATCTGTTTGGTTTTTTATCATAATGCACTTAAACATCACACTGAAGTAATGGTAGCATTCATGTTTTTAATTCTTCCAAACTTCCAATCCAAACAAAGAGTCTGCAGCCATTAGAGTGGGGCCCTTGAGGTGTTATTGCATTTACTACTCCGTCCCAAAATAAACTTCTAGTTGGCTTTTTCACGAAATTAAAGAAAAAGTGAAATTGTTTGGTTAAAATTTATGCACAAAAGAATTATTTTGGACTACCATATACACGCTTTAAACCAAAATGTTTGGAGTATTTTTCAAAGTGGAGAGAAATTGAGGGTTCAATAAATCTAAGGTGCAATTAACTCGAATAAAAATGGATCTCCGCTTGATTTTTTAACGAAATGCTAGATTCACAAACAAAATTTGCAAACTTACTATTTGTGAACTTCAATAAAAAAATTTAAATAGTTTAAAATAATTTTGAAATGAAAATTTAAAACATAAATGGTAAGTTTGTGAAGTTTGTGACCATTTTGTTTGTGAACCTAGCATTGTACATTTTCTTAAAGAAACGAAACCGAATTAAGATTTGCCCACAAAAGCGAGGTGCACAACTCCGGTCTGGTTTGGGTGTAAAATGGGATACAAAGTGGTGTATCCCTAACATTATTCTATGGTGTTTAAATTAAGAAGTATAAATAATACGGTACGGTTTAAATGACACTGGTGACACTAGAATTTGATGGCCACACGGTGTCCCATTGGACTCGAAAAAGGCACTCTAGTTACTTCTTTCCTCCCAAAAAGATTGTTACAATTTAATTTTTTTTGCCAAATTGTGAAACACTTTAATCAGAAATTGTGAAAAAGTATGTTATTTAGGTATAATATAAATTTAGAAAAATTAGATTCATTCTAAAATATAGTTTTGATATATCAAATCTTCATAGCATTTAATTATTTAAAACTATATTTAATCTATGGCCAAATTACTTTTTTTTAAATGCCAAAAGTCATTTACTGCCGCAGCTTGCTTTACTTGTGGAAGGAGAAAGGCACCCTCCAGTCTCTACTGATATAAACTTGTTATTGTACTGAATTCAACATCACCTACAAAACACTTCAAAAACTGAAGAGTCTGGTGATGCCAAGGACAAGATGCAAGCAAGGGGCCCACAGGGAGGCGCCGCCGTCACCGCTCAAAGACGGCGTGAAGATGGGCGGGACCCACACGGAGGCGCCGCCGTTGGGAGGGGCAAAGACGAACACGGGAGCATCGTCGATGATCACAAGCGAGTCAAGAGGGTGCATAAACATATACATCAACAACAACATTCAAGGAGTGAACCACTCCCTCTTGTTTGGGAGCCATGTGAGGCTCGGAGATCCCGGCATTCGCATTTCCATCAATGGCTTAACCTTCCAAACCCAGCAACCTCCAAACCAGAACAAGATCAAGAACAAGAAGAAGATGATGAAGAAGAAGATGAAGAAGAAGAAATTGATGAGAAAAAGCTCCCTTTGGTCTACTTTGGTTTTGGTTTCTGCTTCAACTGTGATTGCCTCTTTCTTCACCTTCTCTCTGTTCACTTTTCACCTCTAACTCTCCAGTTTTCATTTATCTGAAAGTCTGTTTGGTTTGGTTGGTTCTTCAAAAACCAACAGAAACATTGGAAGAAATGAAAACAATTGGAAGAAAACCCAACACAATACACAATGTTGTCAAAAACCATAACAGTGCTTTTCCATTCTTGAAGATGCAAGAGAACAAAATGTACAAACCCAACAGACACTGAAAGTCCCTTTCATCATTTCTTGATGAACGACAAGCCGTTAGCTTCGGCATACCGCTCCATGAACCTCATAAACCGGTCCCACTCGCTCGGACTCCTCATTATGTACTTGGCCTCGATCCCCGCGGGCTTCCCGTTGACAAACTTGGCATTCACATCCACCGAGCGAAGAACGCCCTCCTCGTCGACCATGTAAAGCCCGGTGATGTCTCCCACTTCCTTGGACGAGTCAAACACGGAGGGCTGGTCAAAGCTGAATATGGCCACGCCGTTGGTCCCGTCCTTGGATTGGGTGAGCCGCACGTCTGGCACCGTCTGTTCGTCCCTTCCTTGTATGAACTGGATCGAGGGTTTCACTTTCGCCGCCACCACCACCATTGTTTTTGTTGTTAGTGCTTTTCTAGGATTCCGTTTGTGGGCCCGCACGCGGGGTTGGAGGGTGGTGGTGAAGGAGGAAGAAGAATAAGAAGAAGAGCTTTGATGAACAGGGATGAGTCTGGCCATAACAATGCCTGCATCACATGTCACAACTCATATCATATCAATTCTGTTTCGCTCATCAAAACGGGCCCTTAGAGGCTACGTTTGACGTTGGTTTCAGTGTTTAAGCATTTCCCTCCCCGTTTTGAAACAAACGTGATCCAACGTAACGGTACTATTTGACAATCGCTTTAGAGTTTATTACCTCCATTTACAACTAACCGATACTTTAGTAAATTGTAATACATCAAAAGTTGAATGAATCTAGACATAATGTATATCGATATTAATTCAACTTTTGAAGAAAGACATAATGTATATCAAATTTCAATCGCCAATTAGTTTTTATCTACAATTCTTTAACCCATAGACACACTTGCCTTCCATTGGCACTTGGCATTTGTTTGATTGGAAATTAGAATCCATCTCTTAGCCAAAACCATTCATTCAAACTTAGATACTATTTCTTCTAAACAAATCTAAACTGCATACTCCATTCCTCACCTTGGAGTCTTTACCCTAATCATCTATTATCTGTCCTATTGAATTCGTTACATTTCCAAATTTAGCACTACTAAGGCTGTGAAAAGTCCATTCTATCCTTCTGCACAACTTTCACATCATATATAATATAAGTCTTATATTTGGCATGAAAACATTAGATGTCAAAGCAGAAAAAATCAGTCACAAAATGCAAATGAAATGGAAAGCAAATCAAAATGAGAAGAAGAAAACTAATCCAAGAGTTTATAACATTCAAAGAAAACAGAATAAGTGAAGGTGAAGAAAAGATTGCAACTTTGATACAGAAATGGAGTGGACACAAAGTCTAAGATTTGAATATATGAATAAAGACAAAGAATGAATGAAATTACCAGATGCATACAGAGGAGGCTTATGACAATTTGATGAAGATGGATGAGAGAGAGCAAGCGTAGTGTGCAGAGCTGCCATGGCGTCCACAGAGAGAGAGAGAGAGAGAGAGATTTGAAGGGAGAGAGATGATGTGGTGGCGGTGGACAGTGCAGTTGTGGTGTCATATTGACAGCCATTCATTCACTTCAATTGTCCACTCTTAGAGCATCTCCAGCGTAGAGGCTATATGCTAAAATTTACACAATAATTTTTTGACACTCCAAGGGAGAGGGTAAAACAAATGTTAAAATACAATATATGGTAAAATACAATTGGCAAAGTGTATATCTACAAGGTGGTTGTAGATAGGGACATGAATAAATGTGTAGTAGGAAGTATATTATACAAAACATGGTTGGAGTAGCTATTAAAAAGTAGAAGTGTAAAATACTGTTGATAGTGTAAAATGAAATTTACTCTACCAACTTTTACACTATACATTGGAGATGCTCTTAGCTCTTCAAAGTTCAAAGTCTAAAATTTCCAATAGCAACTCGACTTAAAAATTAGATATCTATTCAAATTATTTTATTTACAAATTGTTATATTATAAAAATACGAATATGGCGTGAAATATAAGAATGTTGTTATAACAAAATAAAAAGTAATAAGAATATTTTATTTTGACAAGAGTTCTACAAAATAAAAAGTAATAAGAATATTTTATTTTATCAAATATTCCATAATCAATCAAAACACATAAATAAACAAAAATTATCGTGAGGTGAGAGAAATTAGATTCTAATCAAAATTGGGGTGAAAGGGTAGCAAATACTCTCTTCGTTCTCGAGTATTTGTCTACTTTTGACTTTTTTTGATCAAAATTAGTAAATTTTAACATCAAATTAAATAAAAATGACATTAGATAATAATACAAAAATAGTTTTATTAGATTTATTATATAGAGTATTTTTTTAAATTTTATTTTATCTAGTTAATACACAATATATATTTTATTTAATTATAGGTCAAAGGTTGAAAACGGCTTAGTGAAAAAAGTAAAAACTGGACAAATACTCAGGAGCGGAGATAGTACTCTCTAAAATACTCCAGCCATTATTGCACTTACTTTTCATGTCAATGCAAACCTTTGAAATACAAAAGTGAGGCACAAATAGAATTTTCCAATTTTAATCTCAAATATAAAATGTTGTCTATTAGTGCTATATGCAAGGATCCAATGATAGCATAATTGTCCTTCATTATCGTTGTCATGAGTCAAACTCGTCTCTTACGATTTTTTTGACTTTTTCACTCTCATTTGACCAATTGAATGTATGACCTGAATTATACAAAAGTATTGGCGGGAAAAAGTGTGTGTAGCAGACCATACACCAAGTCAAAAAACCGAACCAAAAAAAATATTTTATTTGTCAAATGATTAATGAAAAAACACACGCAAACAAAAACTGTCGTGATGCCTTGAATAATAGATAGGAAGGCTTTAAGGATAGAGAGGGAGTAGATTTTTTAAGTTTTTTCATCATGGACCTTGAGCCCATACGAAGTACAATAAATGCATGGACCTTAAGTTCAAATATAGAGTATAAATTTTTAGTTGGAATTTAATTCACCAAACCAGATTTAGTCAATATGACCTAAAGACGTGTTTGGTTTGAATTAGGGAGAGAGAGGGAGAACACATTTCAACTCACCTCTAATCCCTTCAAGGCCAAACACACCCTAAATGATAGCCATTCATAAAGAAGATTGAGGTTCAGATACATAACCAACTTTGCAAAACAGCATTCATTCATTCCTCTTTTCATACTGTTCTTAACCCCAAAAACTTTACAATAACACTTGGCAAAACACACTAAAAATACTCCCATCATGTGTTCATCCATATGATGTCTGAGGATTCGTATATTCCCCCCAACGCTAGGGGGGTAAACATAGCGTGGAAATGTATAAATTAAGAGAGAAAAAGCGCGTTAAAAAAATTAACAATCAAATAGAAGAGACGCCGTGAGATTTCAAGGAAAAAAAAGGGTAGGTATCCTTCATCAAGTGTGAGTCAATCAATCAGTTGTTGCACATTTTATTCATGCCTCTCCCCCATTCCTTTCATGGCACAAACTTGGACCTGCAATTCAGAAAGAGAGAGAAAAAAGATCGAAAACCAAGAAAATCAAGAAAATGTTGTTTTTGTGTTCATGTCAAATTGAAAGAAGAAGAAGAAAAATTGTTCATTTGTGTGCATACCCAGCCCGTTGGCCTCTGATTTTCTCGCGATCCTCAACCTCTTCACCGAGCATACAAATATCCTGTTAATAGCAAGGCGTTGTGATCAGTATGGTGATAAGCTCTTGGGTTTATAGCCAAATAACCTTTGAGATTTCTTAATATTACAAAAAAGAATGAACTTTTTCAATCAATCAAGGATCATACTCTGTATTTGTGTAATTGAAAAAAAAAAAAAACTCAAGGATCATATTATTTGGTCATACTAAAGCTACAAGCTTTAAGTGAGTAATAATAAGAAATGAGACATACTCCCATGGAACATCTCCAACAAGCATCCAATCCCCTTCTTTATCTTCATAAGTTAGCACAAATTCAGATGATCCATCCAACAACCCCGGAGCTTCTTCTGTTGTGGCCTTTTTCTCTTCGGGGATTAAATCTGACAGTGTAGAATGCTACTTAGACCGTTAACAAAATGTGGGTTCAAGAATTCAAAAACTGTCCTTTCTAACTTTACTTCACAACCCAAAAACAAGAATTGATAATAAGAGAGGAAAATGAAATGTATTTTTCCTCTTTTCCTATGTAAGATTTCCAGAAAAAGAGAGTAAGAAAGGAATGACTATTGACTCACATTCGGCACCGGTGGTTTTGATGAAGAACATGTCATCCAGCGTGCGAGCCAAGCTGTTGTAGTTGGAATGAGCGGCGAGGTCAACTTTCCTCCCAATCATAACTCCATCCATGTTGACCTTCACAAAAAAGGAACTCTTGTTGGCATCAGATGTGTTTATGTCCACGGCGTGGACTTTGTTTTGGCATTTCTCAGAGAAATCTTCTTCAACGGCTAAGGGTTTTGCCTGGCTGACTAGACTGTTGATCCTATATGCTCTGATAGGCGGCCACCCCACAACCTGACTGCTTAAGAAAATTCATACATGAACGGTTCAAGAAAACGAAGAAAACTGGCAATTTAGTAGGCAGAGTTAAAGCCATAGCATAACATCATTGAAATAATGATTGAAGATTTGGAGACCTTAGCTTATATCTTGATATATGCACTTTGTAGAATGTTTCTGATAAGGAATAAATGATGATTGGAATGTGATATATGCTCAATCTATCAGTTTTCAAGAAACTATTAAAGATATATAAGTATCAAGACATAGAAAAGCCCTCCAAAACCCCTCATCCAAACAGATCCTTAGGGATCAGCAGTTCTTCCACTTCCATCTGAGTGGATCATTCTATCTAAAGATGATCATACCAAACATGTTCAATGCATGAGCAATAAGATTGGAGGGGAGAAAATTGTAAAATCACTATCTCATTTTAGGCCCTAAATTCCTCATGAGTCAAGAAACCAAAGCTATACTACACAGCAAAACAACAGAGACAGGCCAAGAAAAGTCCCATTTCTCATTTACAGTTTAAAAAAACATTTCATGATCCAAAATAATAAGGAAAATAAATATGCAGAGCAAACCAATAAATCAGATTTGTATGCAAAAATAAAGAAAAAAGAAACGAAAAAGAAAACCAGAAAGGGAAAGAGTTAGCCGTTAGGGATAAATACCTGAGAGCAGCACGGGGAGGGGAACAAGAAGACTCGGCAGCTCTCTTGGACCCACATGAAGCATTGTTACCTTTAGTTGCAGAGGAACCGGAGGAAGACGACGAAGAAGACTTGGAAAATCCGCCGGAGGGAAAATCCTCCGCCGTCAATATCCTATTCCTCCCGGCGGGGCATTGGCCCCAAGCAGCAATCTTTGACTTCTTCAACCCACCACCGCCGCCGCCAAGACTGAGGCCAAGACCCAATTCCAGATCGGAGTCCTCCTCCGGGTGAGAAGAATAGGATTCAGACACAGTCGACATTGAATTCCCAGAACCCACAGTTCCTCCTCCTCCGGTGCCATCCATCAATTCGAGGGTAGTGGCATCCATGTCTTCTTTCTTTCTTTTTTTGGGGAAAAAAAAGTGAATCTTGGGAGTTTCTTGACAGTGAAAAATGCAGATTGATTGAAAGGCTGGTTGAAGAAGAAGAAGAAGGGTGAA